TAGGGTTTAAGGATTAGGGTTTCCCGTTTGTGGTGCTTATAATGAAGATCATCGTATTTTGCGTTATATAGCGGGGGTGCCTAATGGAACCAGGATGACAACACAAGAGAAGAAATCAACAAGTGAGTACCAGTATTGTACACGGGGATACTAGACTCCCTGGAACAGAGTAATTTCATGTCTTCCTTTTGGGGTATCGTATGTCAGGAGAAGAATGTAGTCTTGTTTACTTGGTTCAACCACGAAGCTCGCTACTCACAAGCCCCAACCTTCCCAAAAAAAACCTGGCGGCGTAGGTTGGATCAAGAAGGCATGGAGCAGTCGCTGGAAATCTCCGAGATCAAGAAGAAGAATCAGGAGGCAAGGGAACTGATCACACAGATTCGTTGTACCCATCTTGAATCTTCCATCACTTCCATCTCCCTTTGCCCTCCCCCTTCAACAAATCGCGTAAACCAATACAGGCCCCTGTTTGAAGGAGCGTCGTCTTTGCAGGTAGCAAATATTCCTCAGCTCATTCTATGTCAACATGTCTCAACAGGAACTCGAGCAGCAACACCTGGTGGAGTACAAGCTGAAGAAGGATCAGGACATGCTCATGCGCCTCGGACTGCAGTTCGCGTGCACATGCGATGCGGTTCAAGCGGAGAAATCCGCGGTATCGTTTGCTCCAGTCCCAGTATTCTGGTTGTTTTTTGTTGCATACAGGGGACCTTGATTGTGAAACCTTGCAGCATCTGCTCAGCATGTCAGTGTTCCGGTTTGCCCTGTTGCGATCCTAGGCGAGGCCTGGAAATGATGGAGAAGGCACAGCACGGGGTATCATCTTCTGACAGACTCCTATTGCTACTACGATTCCCATTATTCCAAATATTCTTATTGTTTCCATTATTGCTGCTATTGTTTTTAAGTACTATTTAGGTTACTATTGTTACCACCACTACTATTAATATTAGTATTGTTTATCCGAAGTGTTATTACTATTATTGTTACTACTGTCACGATTATTAGTTTTCTTATTACTGGAACTTGTATTATTATTAGTATTATTATAACTATGGTTACTACAATTACTATTACGGGTACGATTGTTACCCCTAAACCCTAAAATATTATTACCCACAGCCCCCCTATTTGCCCA